TAGCTGGGTTCGCCAATATTGATTGCCTTCGGCTACCTCGTCCCCTATTTCCGCTACTTCTTTCATTACCGTGACTTGCCTCTCGCCCTCGAAGTCCATGGCAGTGGCCAGCTTCGATAACGCATCGGCGTGCGCATTGCCCTCACGCCTGACATGCTCTAAAGACCAGTCTTCCATTTGCGCAAGCACTCCCTGCGCTTTTCCGGCCAGCTTCATCAATTCCTCCTCTTTGATTTCGAAATTCCCATTTATTTGACCCACCACCAACGATGAGTCTGAAAAGATTTTCACTTTCTTTGCTCCCATGCCTATAATCACCTTTACCCCGTTGATCAGCGCTTCGTACTCGGCAACATTGTTCGTCTTCAGGGCGTCAAAACGCATGGCGATCTCATGGATAACGCCCTCGGGTGTCTCGATACAATTCCCGCTCCGGCTCCTCCCTTTCTTGCCGCCCCGTCTACTGACAACTTCTATGCTTGGTTGCCCCTGTGCTCACCACCATCCAGGGCAAATCCTTCGACAATGAAATCTGCCAAGACTTGGGCCTTCACTGCCGGCCGGGGGGCGTAGGATATATCATGCTCACTTAGTTCAACCGCCCACGTAGTCATCCTTCCGGAGGCGTCCATTCCGTGTAGTATTTTCTTGAGGGGGAGGTTCGAGAGGACCGTGATGGGGTGGCCTTGGAAGTAGGGTCGCAGTTTCCTAGCGGTCATGGCAACCGCGAGGACCGCCTTCTCGACCACCAGGTACCGAGTCTCAGCCGGGAGCAACGCCTTACTAACATAGTAAACAGGCAGGTCTTTGCCATCCTCGGACCTTCTCACTAGCACTGAACTTATGGCTTGATGCGAGACCGCCAAATACAGAAAAAGACGCTCCCCAAAAACTGGAGCGCTGAGCACGGGTGGCGCCACTAACTGCTCTTTAAGGCGTAGAAAAGCTTCATTGCATTCTTCACTCCACTTAAAGCGGGTTGCCGACTTCTTCAGGATTTGAAAGAACGGGGAGCACTTGTCTGCTGACCGGGGTATGAACCGACTTAATGCCGCCATCTTTCCATTAAAGGCTTGTATTTCCTTGATAGTCTTTGGGGCCTTCAGCTGCAGAATGGCGTCAATTTTCCTGGGATTGGCCTCAATCCCCCGCTTCGTAATCAGAAAGCCCAAGAATTTTCCCGCTTCGGCTCCAAACACGCATTTGGTGGGGTTCAAGCGCAGCCCATGCTCCCTCATGTTTGTGAACGTTTCTCTCAGGTCTTGTAAGTGCGTTTTTACCTCCTTGCTTTTCACCAACACGTCATCAACGTATGCCTCGACATTGCGCCCTATCTGTTGGCGCAACACTGCGTCCACCATCCTTTGGTATGTGGCTCCAGCATTTTTCAAACCGAAGGGCATGACCACCCAACAGTAGTTCCCCGTTGCCGTCATGAACGCAGTCTTCTCTTGGTCTTCTTCTGCTAGGCTTATCTGGTGATAGCCTGAGAACATGTCGAGGAAACTTAACATGGCATGATTTGCTGTGGCATCTATGAGTTGGTCGATCCTTGGGAGTGGGTATGCATCCTTGGGACAGGCACTGTTGAGACTTGTAAAGTCGACGCACATACGCCACAAGCCTGAGCTTTTCTTGACAAACACTGGGTTGGCTAGCCAGGTGGGGTAGCGCACCTCCCTGATAAAGCCCGCCTTGAGAAGTTTTTGTATCTCTTCTTCCAACGCCATCTGCTTTTCCACAGATATATTCCTCCGCTTTTGCTTTACTGGGTGGGTATTTGGTTTTACCGCCAAGTGGTGCTCCGCAAGCTTGCGCGGCACGCCTGGCATGTCTTCTGGTCCCCACGCGAAGAGGTCGGCGAATTCTCGGAGGAGGCCGATCATGCTAGCTGCCAGGTCGGGCTGAAGGTGTGCCGATATGCGAACCGTTTTCTCGGGCTCTTCTTCTCGCAAGGGTACCGCCACATCACCTTCCAACGCTTCCGGTCTTGGGCTGTTCCCCCTTGTATCTACCAAATCCACCTCCAATTGTTTAATCGTTGCCTGGTAGCATTCTCGGGCTTGTTGCGTGTTACCTTTGACACAGCCGACCCCTTTCCCTACCGTGAATTTCAACCTTTGATGACAAGTGGACGCCACCGCCCCGAATACTGAAAGGAAGCTTCTTCCCAAGATGGCGTTGTAAGCCGAGGGGCAATCTGCTACGTAGAACTCCATGGATTTGGTCTTGGTCACGTTTCCCTCCCCGATTGTTTACGCGCAATGTGACCATGCCTAGGACTTTGATCTTCGATCCCGAAAACCCCACTAGCTGTGTTGAGGATGGTTTGAGGTCTTCAATTCCTTTTTTCATACTTTTTAAGGTGGAGAAGAAAAGGATGTCGGCCGAGCTTCCGTTGTCAATGAGCGTTTTTGTCACCTTGTACTTCCCTGTGCGAAAAGATATGACAAGAGGATCTTCTGCCGCCTCCGGGCTGGCCAGTTCTGCCGCTTCAAAAACCCCTTCGGCTGTAGAGGCGAAAGAAACGGTTAGGCATGCTTCTCCGTTGCTCGCGACGCGTGGTCGCTTTCTTCCTCCAGCGATGGTGATAATTTCTAGGTCATCATCGTCTAAACGTGGCTGCCTCCTTGGTGGAGGCGCATTGGGAGGCGACGGGAGCCTTTCTCTTCCTCCCCTATCGCGAGACCTTGATCTTCGGGGCGTTCTGGACCTCCTCGCCCTTGACCTTGAATGCGGTCTTCTGGGGGACCTACTTCGATACCGTTTGAGCGATGGCGACCTGGCTTCACGCTCTTGCTTCTTCTCTTCCAATCTGCTCCTCAGATCTCCAGGGGCGAGGTTGGCGATGTTCATTTGGAAATCTCGACAATCCACCGTGTTATGCGAGGCTTTTTGATGCCAATAGCACCATCTTCTGAACACCGGGGCTTCGGGACGCCTTTGAGTATCACGGCGGGGCGCCTCTTCTCTGGGCCTGCGTGGGCGCGAGTCTTACTTCTCCCTTTCAGCTACATAGACTTCCCTTTTGCTCTCCACCGCTCGCGCTTTCCCCTTATAGTGGTGCCGCTCTGGGGACCGCCCTTTCCGGAACGGGGATCTGTTTCCCCTTCTCACTTCCTTTCTCCCTCCCCGATCCGTTGACACCAATGCTTCCTCCAGTGTGATCACTCTACGTACCAGGTTGTCTAGGTCTGGCCAGGTTTTGATGTCTTGCTCTTTTTTAATCAATGCCCGTTGGAGCTCCTTGCTCTTGGATGCCATCCTCAGGCTTCCCGCCGCCACATTTGGGGTCACGCCTTGGATTTCACTGGCGATGGTGTTCCAACGGTCGTAGAACGCCGTCAAACTCTCCCCTTCTCCTTGTGTGCAATTTATCAGCGCGGTGACGGTGAGACGCCTACGAATCTGGGAAGCAAACTTCGATGCGAACAGAGTCGCGAACTGCTCGAAATTGTCTATGATTCCTTCGGGGAGAGACGTGTACCACGTGCGACACCGCCCCCCGAAGGTTATGGGAAATGCTTTGCAAAGATCCGCGTCAGAGGCGTTTATAAGTTGCATCTTTAGCGTGAAGGCAATCAGATGGTCGTTTGGGTCGGTGTCCCCGTTGTAAGCCGGAAGGCCTAACTATGAAAAGTTTGGGGGAACCGGATTCCGGAATAGCTTCTTCGAAAGGGGGTTGTGCAGGATACCTGGCCCTTTTGTCTTCCCGCTTCCCTTCCCGAAGCTTGCTTGCAGGTGCTCCTCTAGGAAACTCAAGTCGGTTTCCTGCCTTTCGTCGTCAGTTTCTTCATCCTCCGACTCAACCTCCACTACCTTCTTCTTTCCTCTATCCCCCGGTGTGGAGGATGGGCCCGGTGTCTCTGGGTGCCTCATTCCTTCCTTAATCAACGATAGGATCTGACTTATACTGCTCCGCATCTGCGTGATTTCCTCCCCTTGACTTTTCACCCTATCCTCCAGCTCCATCTCCTCTTCGACCCTGGGCGACAAACCACGCATTGTTATTGGTTCGACAACTTCCTTCATTGGGGTGATGGAGTCACCCGACATTTCAAGGAGAACGATACTCTCTTTCGGGCCCCACGGTGGGCGCCAAATTGTTTACGCCTAGAATGTGCCAGGCGGGAAAGTGGAAACCTTTGGAGAATACCGTTGTTCCTTGATACGTGGGTGCTGCGTTCCCTGCATAAAAGGTCCGGGGCGTGGCCCGCGAACACTCTCCAACGATCAAGTCAGTGTTTAGAGAGAGAAAAGTAGGATAGAGAGAGAGTATATGATTAGTTACTATTTAATGGGGTGGTTGACTGCTATTTATAGTCCGAGGTGGTTGGTGTAAGTGTCTTGTCAACCGTGCGCTTTCCCTCTTACACGCTTACGGCGGCATTTAATGAAGTGTCAGTGATGGCATGATTGGTATGGATCCTTCCTTACTGGTCGTACTCACCCGCCTCTCGCTGGCCATCTTACACCCGGTCCCTTATTCCTTTGGGCCGGCCCATACCTTTGACCTACCTCTCTTGGGCTTTTCCCCCTTTTGGGCCAACTCTAGTTATGTGGGCCTTGCTTTAGGCAGCGATCCCCAACGGCCCAACACTTATAGATTTTTCTTCTTTTCTGTCCTCCCCGAAAACCCATGTTTGGCCGTCGATGCGGAGAAGCCCGATAAAGGCATGCTCTTGAAATGTTGGGTTCTATGTGATTAGAAGAAAAGAAAAGAATTTCATTCTATGTAAAAATGAGATGAAAATTTTAAATGATTAAAATTTATTATTTTATTATATTTTAATGGTCACTTTACATAATTAACGGTCAATTATAAGAATTGATTGTCACATTAGAAAAATTTAACAAAAACTAATAGATAATGACCAAATTTGAATTGTTAAATTAATCTTAGCTATTAGAAATAAAATAAAATAATTTTAATGATAATCGTGAAATATTTTAATAATCCCAATTATAAAAGAAAAAGAAAAGACAAGTACTTGGAGAAAGACGGAAGAGAGAAGGCGCAAATTGTAACAGAAAAAAGCGAGGAAAATAAGAAGAGTTAGAGAAATTCCCCGAGCGGCATGGAGCCGAGTAAAGATTTCGATGGAGGCGGTGACGAAGGTGGAGGAAGTTCCGACGATAAATCAAAGCAAATCGACAATCAAAAGCCGGAGGAAGGAGGAGGAGGAGCCGCCGCCGGTGGTTTGAAGGGGAAATCATGTAAGGGTTACCTTTACTACTCTTCCGTTCTCAAATCCAACGGCAGCAATCCTCGCTGCATCGGCATTCCCCGTACCCTCCCTTCAGGTAACTACTCCTTCCCTCCACCTTTTGCTTCCCAAATACAAATTGTTGCACCCCACAACCCAGAATGATTCCATTATGATTGATCCTTAGGCTTATTTGTACTTTGATCTCTTTGCCGCTTCTAGCGCTGCCTGTTCCCATAGAATTCCCAGTAGTTTTAACTCTATTTACATCCACCATGGAAGTTTGGTACCAAAAGCTTATGGCTTTCTTGGTGCCTGTGCCAAGACAGGCTGAAGGTTTTTGATTTTCTGAGCTTTGCCTTCACTTTGGAAATTGCCTTCTGGAATGATCTGTTTTGCTACCATTCATTTTAGTTGTGCCATTTTATCCTCTTGCAAGAATGTAATTTGTTGTAAGACTTGGTGGTGTGATGGGATGCTTGATTTTGTTGCTTTGAATTGAGATACACTCCTATGGTAGAAGTCTTTACTCATGGGTGTGTACAAGAGGATATCTTTTTACTGACTTGCCAATCTTTCATGTTCAGGAACTAATTTTGGTGCTGGACGAAGTGAGCATCAATCTGATAAAGAGAAGGATCTCAATGACTTTTACTATGGTTGTGCCGGGTACTCGGTGTATGTTAATGGTGACCATTCGGCAGACAAAGAAGAGTTAAAAACGCGCTTACCGGGCTGTATCGGCCTGGAGGTATTTCTCTCTTACAACTCCTCTCTCACTCATTCTCTGTGCTTTCTCCAGGTAGTTGCTGTGAATCATTTGGTTAAGTGTGTTCGTTAGTTTTTTTCCTTTTGATGATCTAAAGCAGAATAGGATGTGAACTAGTTGGGTTGTTGTATCTCAACTGTCTAAATGTGTAGATGTTTAATATATAAAGGCTGAATTTGATTGCTAACGTTACCGATGTGCTAATGTCGGGAATTTCTTGGTGCTGGTGCTGGTGGCTTTGGTTCATATCAGGGTTTATTCGTTCCTCACACAGGACTAGCATGTCTGAAAAATTATCGTCTTTGAGTTGCTCTCTTCTCTATCTCGGTTGCCTATTGAAAAAGGTTATGTCGCCAATGGTATTATTTTCTTCCTTGCAGCTCCTAGTGAATAAAAAAGTCATCAATTCAAGTACTTCTGCTCCAGCTCCTGCTCAACATAGAGAAGGTGCCAAACTATTTCTGTTTATTCTGGATGTTGCATGTTGCATGTTGCTTCCTCTTATGAGGACCTCAAATCACTGCTATAACGACAGGGCTATCTTTCTCATACCATTAGCAATGTTTGTTTTGCTCTCTACATGCATGACATACACACAGAATGTAGTTGGAATCTGCTATGCCTAGTTCTTTTTATGTATAAAACTTCTTTGGCTATTCCTAACTTTGTATCATCTGATTCAAGGAAATCCTTAGTAGTGCTTTTGCTGGTGTTTTCATCCATTCATGTCCAGTGTAGTTTCACGTCATACAATTTATACACCTAACCTCGTTGATTTCTCTTTATATATGTTGTCTGTGGGTGTTAAAGATGGGCGCAGCGAATCCCCTCGTCCTCAGATGCCGAAGCCACTCCAGACTCCAACTGACGACTTCTTAGCCAGGCAAGTTGATAAGTTTCAACACTATTAAAATAGTTAACATATATGTATTGTGTAGTTCAAGAAGACACAAGGAACGAGTTCCAACTACGCCAATCTGATGTCCTGTTGAATTCATAGGTTTACAAGGAATGCGAACCTGGTTGCCTCAGGAGTTGCCAGGAACATGAGGAGAGTAGGGAACCACATAAAAGACACTGTAGATGATATATTTTTCCCCTTCAGAAGACGTCCCAAGTGAGGCTTCCCCGCCAGCCAGTGGACACCAGGGAATCCATATATATCTTCATCCAGAGAGATCCCTTCTTGCTCCATTCCCTGAGTTAATGTACTATTCAAGCTTTTGCCCCCCTCCTTTCATAAAATGCTTCCCCCAATGGCCCTTGTTGCCAAGAAAATATCAGAACATAGCAAATAGCGGGAAGAAGAAAATGTATAATTATTTGGTTTTTTGACAGCTGCATGATGATCAAATCTGTACTCCCAGTATCGTTTTTGGTTTCGAGGCCATTATTAGTCTCTATTTGAGGTCTATTTCAGCAGTTTGCATGACAGGGGAAATCTTGTTACCTTCCAACTGGTGTTCTCGCTCCTAAAAAGAGGACAGGCCTAGAAAATGTACTATTGCTCCTGTATTTGAAGACCAAAATTTGATCTATTGGGAACTATCACTAGTATGTTTGTATATTATGAGTATGAGTGCAGGGGAAAAACTAGTATGTGTCTGGATCCTGAATGCATATCAGCGTAGCATTAATATGGAAACGGATTGCGAGCTCTAATACATACGTAGTTACTAGTTAGTATCCATGTTGAATTTAGCAGTGAATGCATATTTAAAGAGTACCAAAACGTGTGCTGTAGAATGGTGGTGGTTCAGATTAAGAAAAGAAGGTAGTGTATTTTATGATTTTATTCATTTGTATGCACACTTGTTTTGGAAATTGAACTGAAGGGAATCCCTGCATGACTCATTATCACGATAGAACAGGATTACGAGGGGCTCTGATAGGCGGGTTTGGGTGATGTAGGGATTGGCTTTTTTGACTTTTATAGGATCTGTTTGGCTTGTTTTGAGACATGTCTGACCCAACCCGTAAGCGGGGCGAGGTCGAGTACGGGTATTCTTATTGATTTGATCTGCCCTCACTTGCCTCATTTTCGACCCGTTCTTGCCTAAATTACATGTAATATTAGTCAAATTACTTAGGATTTTCCTTTTATTACATAATATTTAAGCTATAATAAAATTGTAAATTAGTGAAAATCTCAATTTCTTCAATACTTTAACTACATTTATCATACTATGGTTTGTTTTCTTGGTCGTATAATGAAATTACCGAATATTTTAAATAATTTTCATATAAATTGCATACCCATTGGGTCGACCTGCCCTGACCTGCCCCGATCTGCCCCGACACGCGAACCATGATAAATTACCCGACCGACCACGGAGCGAGTATGAGTATCGTAATACCCGCCCCGGACCTGCCCATTGCCATTCCTAGGGTGATCTAAAGTCCCTATGCCTCACTTGATCATGGAGAGGCTTCGAGTTGATCGAGGAATTAACCCACACCCTAGTTTGTGCTCGTCTTCCCAAACTCCACTCTTCTAGACCATTGTTTTGTAGAACACTTGTTGTACCATAATAATCGTATTCATGAGATAAACGGAATATAGCTATAAGTGATTGGTCGTCTAGACTTGTGAGTTAGACTTGTCCCGCTGTCAAAGCTAAAATGGTTATTGAGATGATCTCTAGCCTTTTACAGTTTTACCGATCTTCTTCCACATTTTTACTTAACAAAGTCGTGTACCTGTAAATAATCAATCACAAGGTATAAAGAGCAAGGAGAAGAACACTTACGCATGATTTTTTGTTAACCGAATCTATTGTTTACGTCTCGGTTCAAAGGTGGCTCACCCTTCGAGATCTAATGTCAATATTTTTATCTTATTCCTATCTAACTTTAAGTTGAGACCTTTTTTATGGAACTCAAACTCTTGTAAGAAATAAAGCAATATACCCTTGTTTTTCTTTCTCACAAGCACTCATTTTAAAGAGAGAAACTACACAATTTCACAAACACTTAAGCAATACAAACAATGAACACCTATAACTTCTTACACCTATTGCTAATCATGGAGTGTTTGATCTTGCTTCGTTGTTGGATTGCTCTGCCACATTCCATAAGTTTTGTCTTGTTGCATGCTTCCTTCCAAATATACTTCTTGGTGCAACGGTCTTCTCTTGATTTTCCTTTGATTTGGGATATTCTTTCTTGCAATCATATATTCATAAATATGGCAAGTAATAATTTGTTTTGTTTTACCTTTGTAGGGGGGGGGGGGGGGGGGGGGATTCCCAACAATCTCCCCCTTAACATGTTATCTCCCTTAGATGGGAGAACGTAGATTGCCAACTCATTCACAAACCAGAGTGATAATAAAACTAAAGCAAACTATTAGATCAGACTAGAAAACATAATAGAGTTTCATGTGATGAAAATTCAAGCACAGTCAAAAGGGTTTAAACCAACAGTTCCGAAGAGAAGTGCCAAAATAGTTCTAAAAGTTTAACCTAACCATTCAACCGATAGCCTAATTTACTAATATAATCCACACACATATAATCCGTAAACTCATTGCGACCCGTCGATAAACCTAATAGGGGCGAATTAGGCGAGTACATATACGAGAGATGGAGCTGGAAAATGAAATTGATTAATTTCAAATTTTATTACTTTTTAATTAACACATTGTTAGTTTAACGATCAAAGATCATATTTGACTGCCACATAGGATGAAGTTATTGAAACAGACGACAGGTGGCCAATAATGAAATAAAATTTAAAGTTAGTGGCAAATAAGAAAAGAAATTTTTTTGGATGCCCAACATGAAAAAATTGATAAACTAAGTGACTAAACATGTAATTTAGCTGCAATTCTGTTTAAAATACTAACCATAACAACAAGCTATGCTTAGGGCTAAAAGGTTTGTCCCATGTAGCTTTATACCAATCAACTGGAGGGTTGGGGGTCCTCATAGTGTTCCAGACCTGCTTCACAGAGAACTTAAGTAGTACTTTCCCATCCCAAGCAAGCAGAGTTCCACTCCCAGAGATATAGGACTGCACAACATCTTGGCATCTCAGAATTTTTTGCCAAATCCATGTCACTGTCGATTGACCAGATAGAACCCATATTGTCTTGTGCTTCAGGCGATATTTCTTTACCCACGCAACCCACAAGGAGCAAGCCTCAGCCAACAGGTTCCAGATATGATGAACAACACATGCCTGGTTCCATTTCTTAAAATCCCTTATCCCCAGTCCCCCCTCAAATTTCGGCAAAGTCACTAAAGATCATGCCATCGAGATCTCTTCCTCGTGCTAGAGCCACCAACACCCCACAAAACGTTATTACAATTTTTCTCTCTCTCTTTTTGAATCTTTTGTGGCAAGAGAAACAGAAGAAACCAGTTGCAATCTACCAGCATAACTAAGTTTCTTTGCCTGCCAAGTTCTAATTCTCAGTGTAATCCTATCAACAAGAGCACAATCAGCTGAAGAAAGTTTACCTGTGATCAGTGGCACACCAAAATAACGAACAGGTAAACTCCCCAGTGGAGACCTAGTGTAAGAAGAAATCCACCGCTTCCCTTCACTAGGGATACCACAACAAAAAAGTTGGTATTTTGCAGGATTACACCAAAGTCCAGATTCTCTGTAGAATTGCTCTAGTACTCTCTTAATACCCGCCACCCTTCAAATTGAACCATTTGGCAAAACTATGAGATTGTCTGCAAAACACATATGAGTGATCTCGAGTGCTTTACAATGAGGGTGGTAGGGGACTTGATTATCAATGGCAACCCTGTGGATTAAGCACGAGAAATACTTCATCGCCACAATGAACAAATAAGGGGAAAGAGGGTCTCCCAGCCGGAGACCCTTTCCAGCCGAGAAATATCTATATAGACTCTCGTTAAAAGAGACACTAAGCATGGGAGTTGTAACACAAGCCTCTATTAACTTAACAAACGATTCTTGGAACCCCATAGCTAAAAGCATATTGAACAAAAAATGCCAATAATGTACCGAATCAAAATGTTTCACAAGGTCGATTTTGAGAACACATCTCGAGGTAGTATTACTCTTATGACATTCCGTAACCAACTCACTCGCCATCAATATATTTTCATCCATTAATCTCCCCTTAACAAAAGCAGACAATGATTTACCGATATCCGAAGGGAGGACAACTGCTAATCTATTAGATAAGAGTTTAGAGATGCCCTTATATATAACACATTGAAAAAAGAGATGGGTCTAAAATCTTTCATTATATCCGCACTTGCCACTTTAGGAATTAAAGCTAGGATTGTAGAGTTTACCTTTTGTGGCATGACTCGTGTTCGAAAGAAATCCAACACCACTTCCTCTACCAATTCACCAACAACAGGCTAGTCATATTTATATAACTCAGTAGTAAATTCGTCTGGACTATGGGCTTTGTCATTTGTTTAAAAACCTCCCTGATCTCCTCACTTGCAACTGGAGTTAATAGATTTAATTTTGGACTCCTTCTAGTTCTAATCTCTATCTAAGCTACTGCTGAAAATAAGCCACTGAACAATCCTGAACATTTTGATCAACTTCTCTTAATAGTTTCTTATAAAAACAAACTACTTCTTCTCCCATCTCTTTTATATCTGTCACTTCGGTATTATCATCTCGAATCAGTTTCATAATAGTTTGCATGTGATTTCTGACTTTCATTGGTGTATAAAAGTAAGTTATGTTAACATCACCCTCCTGAACACATTTGATTCTGGATTTCTGACGAAAAAAGCTCTCCTCTGCTGCCTGCAAATCCTAACACAGAGCAGCAAGTTCAAGCTCCTGTTGGATATTGTCTTCAGTGGGATCAGAAAGTACTTCTTGTTGCTTTTGCTCAAGTGCTCTTTCAACCTCCCTTGTCCATTCAGAAATATCAGAGTATTCATTTTGATTCAATTTCTTCAGCTTGTGCTTAAAAATAGTCAGCTTCTTATAAAATTGTTGATAAGATAAACCCCTAGTAGGCTCTCCCCAAGCCTCTTCCAAAAGAGTCTGATACTGAGGATGTTTTCGCCAATACTTGAAGTATTTAAAAGGCTTCGAAAGAGAGCCTAGCTTCGGGAGCCATTGTTCTTGCAAGGCTTTGTGGAAATTTAATAAACCAGTCCTAATTCGCCAGAAATCTATCAAGCCATTTAGCTATTGGATTCCCAATTTGTTTATTCCACCATGTATATCTCGATCCAACACCTTATGATCTAACAAGCACATCTCATTGATCCACTCTCGAAAATCCGACCCCCCTTGATTCATAACAGTAGAATTGGAGGCTTCTGAAACATCAGCAATAGCGTTATAATCACCCATAAAAACACCAGGTTCCCCTACAACCTTCCAAGGCAGCAGCTCAGAATACAATTTGAGGCGTTTATTGGCCTTGTTAGGACTGTATATAGCCATTATAACACACCATGATAACCCTGCAACCTGAACCTGAATGAAATGCTCTCCCATTTTTACTAGCTGAACCTTCAAACTAAGCTTCCAAAATAACCAAACCCTCCCTGAAGCTGAATGCGCATAATTATTTAAATGTTGCCAACAACTAAATTGACGACTAATAATATCCTCTGCATTCTTTTCTATCACCATTGTTTCTAATATTGCTTCAAAATCAATATCTAACTTTCTTAACTCCTCACTAATATGTCACATTAATTTTTTAAATCAATACATAATATGAATTTAAAAAAAAAATTATCAAACAAACCTTTCAATATTCATAAAATATGATCCAACCCATTAAAATTATAAAATATTAGTCAACCATTAAATTTCCGTTAACACTTTCATTAGATGATGTTGAGTTGGCAAAGATGATGTTGAGTCGGAAGAGTTTTCGTGATATAGCAGCCAACCGAAAAAAGGGTAAATAAAATTTCTTAGCCAAATCTTTTAATATAAAAAAAATGGCTAAATTGCAAGTTTGGTCACCAGAATTACTTAACAATTTCACGTTTGTCACTAAAATTAATTTATTCCATCCGTAGTCCCTTAAATTAGGTTAACACTTCAAGTTTGGTCACTGGCCGTTAGTCTCCGTTAACTTTTGCTGATGTGGCGGTCAACTCTTATAGTTGACCGTTAAAAGAATGACGTGGAAATTAAAAAAATAATAAAAAAATAAAAAATAAATTTTTTTATTTTCCAGCTAATTATTATAAATTAAAAAAGAAAATCCTAGTTCTTTTAATTATTTTCCACCACCATCTTCCACGGCGACACCGCCCTCTTCCACGGCGACACTGCCAAATCTATTTCCCCCCAAATCTCATCTCCCTATCTTTCTAACCCTATCCAATCTAATAAAAGAAATGGGCCTCCAGCGCCGGAACCTCTGTGGAGATGATACGCAGGCAAACTCCCGTCCAAGCAGACTGCGAAAAACCCCAGAACCAACCTCCCACTTTAATTGATGGCGCTCGCCACAACAATGAGAAACGACAACAATCATGTGTAAGCACATACCGGCGCCGGAATCGTCGGCGTCGCGGACCAGAGTCATGGACACCATGAGCCTTTCGTCGTCGTTCGCCGAGCAAAAGGCGCGGCATAGTCGGGAATAGCAGGAGAAGTACCACCAAAATCGTAAACGAGATCGAGTAAACATAATGAGATAACAATGATCCCGCCATCTTTGCACAAATCAGTTCAGGAGAGAGAGCTTGGATTAGAGGAGGATAAAAATAAAAGCAGGGGATTACGGATTAGTCCGCTAATGGATGTATGAGAAGGAGATAATAATAACATTCATGGCCATGGAATTTTATTAAATAGGTGAGCATGAATTATTAAATGCGGGGAAAGCAAGAAAATAAATGAGTAAATGATGTAAATAAGCTCTAAGTTAAATTTGAAAGCTTCAGTTTTGGTTCTTGAATGGGAATTTTGGGGCAGAGTAAGCCACAAAATACAGAGTGACCCTCCAGAAAAGGAAGAATGGAACCCAGAAAAGGGATGAAGTGAACGTGGAAATTGGGTTATTTTTTTTTGGGTATTTGGGGCTGGGAATGGAATGTTAAGTTCAAAGGGGGAGCCAACAAGATCGTTGAAGTTAAAAGAGTTGGAGAAGATTGGGAGATGAGATTTGGGGGGAGAAAGAGATGGGTGGAGGAAGACGCTGATGTTGTCGTGTGCGCCGGCGGTGGGTGGCTCGTCGACGACCAGCCTGTTGGCGGAGGGAGTTAGCGACGGATGGAAGGATGGCGGTGGAAGAGGGCGATGTCGCCGTGGAAGAGGGCGGTGGAAAATAATCAAAAGAACTAGGATTTTCTTTTTTAATTTATAATAATTAGCTGAAAATAAAAATTATTATTTTTTAATATTTTTTTTTTTTTTTAATTTCCACGTCACTCATTTAACGGTCAACTATAAGAGTTGACCGCCACATCAGCAAAAGTTAACGGAGACTAACGGCCAGTGACCAAACTTGAAGTATTAACCTAATTTAAGTGACTACGGATGGAATAAAATAATTTTAGTGGCAAACGTGAAATTGTTAAGTAATTCTGGTGACCAAACTTGCAATTTAGCCTAAAAAAAATATTGACTAAATAGATCGAGCACAAGAAGATAAAAGTAAATCAGCCAACTAGCATGTGAACTCTAATTAATAAATATTCAATGTTAGTTCTCTCCCCACAAATAAATGACAAACGTTGACTTGAGACACTAGACCAAGTCACAAGAATTTTCACGAAAATGAATAAATTAAAGTTAGATAAATCTCGATTAGGTTCACAGATTGAATCTTGAAATCCTTAATCTATGTGAAAGTGAAAAGTTGACAAACCTAGATTAAAATGAGTAAAACTTATAGATTTTAATCAATTATTTTATGGTCGCCCAATTTTGATACCCACATTGACATTGCTATTCGTCGTCCTAAAACACCTTATTCGTCGCCCTAATTTTTAATAAAATGACTTAAATATCCTTAACTTAATTTTTGTTTTTCAAAACGTATAAACTCTAAAACAAACACATACAATTATACACAATAACAAAAAAAAATATCCAACAAATAAATTATTGAATTACAAGTTTCAATTACAAGTTCCAAAAAATGTAAAGTAGACTCGCTTGGAATATGGTCGGAGGATTGGCCACCTACTCCATATTGCATAGCGCCAGTTCAGCAACAAAAGAATCCCGGTAGCAGCAGTGGGAAAGCGGTGGTGATCGGGTTGAGGTGGGCAGTGGGTCGAAGAGATGAATTCTCAGGAGTAGGACAGAGGTGTAGCAGAGCACCGACGGCGGTCGGCTTGAGGTGGCAGCCGAGAGAAGAATCCTACAGTGACAGCGGCGGCCGGAAGACAAAGCAGCTCGGTGGTGGCTGGGCAAGGTAAATGATTGTAGGGTTTTGTTTATAAATGGGACGTGAGGGTAAGAGTGTCGATTCAGTTTATTTTAGGGCGATAAAATTTGGATTTTAGGGCGACGAATAGCGATTCAGTATTTTAGTATCTATTATCCATGGGTTAAGAACAGTCTGAGATTTATTTATTTCAATCCGTATAGTCATGTAACTTGATAAATATATCTGATGCATATAAATAGATAGATGCAATGCATTGCTCCCTCCTCACCATCCAATCAAACGCATCCATCTCCTCCCTTGGCTAGCTTACCCCAAAATTGACGCTCGTTTCTGTCCTCCAGTTTATCGATTCCAGAATCTGAAACAGAATGAAGCAATTTCAGGGAGGGGGACAAAAAAAAAGCAATCACTATTAGACAATTAAAAGCAAGGAACCGGATCGATATGGTGACCTCCAGTTTCTTCATCTTTCTGGTGGTCGTGATTATCGTTTCCTGTCTCTTGCTGCATAAGCTATAGAGAGTCAAATCAATTAATTAATTAAATCCCTAGCTCGCTCGCTCCGATGGCCGCTGCCGCGGTTTGTAGGCGTCTCGGGAAGCTTGGGTTTGGGAACAACAATGCCTCCACCATCAGAAGAGGATTCAGTTCTGCTCACAGCCATGGTTTTCCTCTGGATAGGAACCTGCTCAATCCCGTCCGCGGTTGCAGGGGAAATTCCGACCTTGTTAAGGAAACCGGAAATCACGTCTTCCTCGTCGACACTTTAGCCCTCGTTCGTCTCCTCATCTCTCTTCTTCTTCTTCCTCGTCGATTACTGATTTATTTATAGTTTGTGTTGGAAAATGTGACGGAAATTTGAATAGTTTTGAAGTTATAAATCAAAAGTGGGAAAATACGACGTTTGGTGGTTTTATATTTGTGAAGTGTGTATAAAGATAGGTGTATTTATTTTTTGGGGCAAGCCCCTTGGACCCGACCAGGTGGGTGGGTCTTAATTGAGACTAATATTAATTTTGGAGAAACACAATAGAGAGCTTCGACGAAGACGGTTTCGCGAATAGATTAAAAAAAATGACCTAGTCCGCAACTCAGCTCCAGATTCGTTAACCCCGTTCCTTGTTGTCGTTCCGTTCATAACAATTTGTTTGTAATTTATGGAATTTCAGGCGCGGAGGTTGGAGGCGAGAGGGCTGCCGTTGGACCAGGCAGAGGCGATCACCGCTGTAATCACCGAAGTTTTGAACGATAGCTTGGAAAATGTGGCCCAATCCGTCGTATCCAAGACGGAGATGGAGAAGGTTTGCTTTGCTTGCTTCCTCGCCGTTTTGACATTATTGGGATGCAAATATTGTGTTTGTGATTCAGAGGCTGATGGATGGATACATTTTTTGGTGGTAGAATGAGATGATACAAGAGACCAACCTGTGCAAGTTCAAATCCGAGATCCAAAGCAAGCAGGTACTTATTTATGCTTCTGATTCCCGCCAATTTCGACTTTCGAGCGAGCTCTTTAATATTAGAGATGCTTGTTTTAATTACTTGTCTATTTATGTACGACAGGAGCATCATTTCTCATTGTTACAGCGCGAGGCGGAGAAGATGGAGAATGTGATTGACAAGACTACCGAGAAGATGCAGAATGACATTGACAAGACCCGTACTGACCTCAGGTGCGCTATTATTTGCTCACCTCATTATTTTCGATTATCGGATTCTTCGCGATTGTACCGCATCAATTTGATTCGATTATATATCTGGAGACATTAATTGGGTCAAATTGATCTGCCTGCTAGCAGAAAATTGGAGTGGATCAATTTGCCATGCAGAATTTCGAAATGGTCTGCTTTTTTTTAGTCAATTCCAATTATTTGTAACCTCGTTCCAATTGTGATTAACGGAATTCGGAATGAGATTTTTTTACTGAGGCTAGGTGATTCGTACGATAACTATAGTCGAGCGACAAAAATTTTTTTTTTTTGGTAAATTACAAGAACTCGTTAGAAAAATATTCATACAAAATGGACAAAAAAATGCCTATTCACCCTATAATTTTAATAAAATCGCCCCCATATATACATTACCTTAATAAATTTATCCAATGATTATTTTGTGTTTCCATAGCAAGACCTAAAATATTAGTTTGTCTGAACCTTCATTTCCACCTATTTTTCATGAGGTTCAAGAGTGTTGTTTTGAAATAAAATGGGTCCTGTATTTTGGTGAACAACAGGCATGAAATAGACAAGGTCAATGCCGGGCAAAGATTGGATTGGAACCTCGAGAAAGGGTATGCAAGCGACTATTTTTGTTTTTTATATGTATATTTCTCCAAATAGTGCATCTTGTTTTCAGCGGCACTTCTTAACCTCCAAATTCATTTGATATATGAATGACAATAACAGGAGGATAAGAGACGAGTTAACTCAGCAAAAAGCCGACACCACTCACCTGGAGAACAAACTCGATAGAGTGAGTCTATCGTTAGTGTGCGTTGTGATCCTTTTTATGAAACAAAGAAAGTCTTTTGATCTTGTAATGCAATGTGTGTGTCTGTTTGTGTATTGGCAGGAGACGCATGCTCTCAGGGCCCAACTGGAAGCAGCAAAGTATGATGTTACCAAGTACTTCGTTGCTACTTCCTTCTCCCTTTGTGCGGTTGGCCTTGCTGTGGTTCGCATCTTCTTGTAGGAAGGCGCCGAAAATAAAGACATTACCTCTGAGTAGCTATCAATGGCTCTCTTTTGTACATATGATGATCAGTTTCGTAATATGTTTATGTAAATCATGACCTAGCTACTCAATATTTCGGGTTTTGATTGCCAACAAAAAAAAAATGTGTATTGTATTAATTGATGATGTATATATATCATAGTTCGAAAGTTTTAAGTATTAATTTCATATGGTACGATTATGTCTCTCACATGTTAATTATATTAATTGTGGGTACCAACGTGTGTATAGTAGTTAGACTTTGTTATCGCGAACCGTCGGTTAGATTAAATCCATCAAACCGTCGGTTAGAGAATTAGGTACTGGGGTTCATCAATTTGACATTAGGGTATAGTATCATGCCCCAAAACTTCGATTAATTCGTGCTAGACCTGCAATCGGGTCGGGTTGGGTAATTTCGGGTTGGGGACTTCAGTTACGGGTCGGGTCATGTTTGGTTGGCTGATTTCGGGTCAAATATTGATCCAACCCATACGGTTTCGGGTCGGGTTACAGGTCATTTCAGTTTATGAGCGTTTTCAGAAACAATATCAAACATGCTTCATATTTTCTTAAAAAACTTAAATTTTCACATATTCATGATAATAGTTTACCTAACACATGTCAATTAACATACTCTAAAATCCTCCCACGCTAATGAAATGAAATACAAATTGCGCAAATCGCCAAAAAACAATCACAAGAGTAATACTACTACAAAAACACATGATATTTGATTATCCTTCAACTCCAAAACATGTCGTTCAAATTCTTGTGATTTTCTTAAACATCTCACCAATTTATGAGTGATTTTATCATTTTGGGAGTGATATATAAAATGAAACGGGTCTGACGGGTCGACCCGCTAACTCACCCAACCCGACCAAAAAAATCACGGGTTATCGGGTTCGGGTCATTCGGATTTTGGGTAACAAAAATTTCTAGTTTTTGGGCGGTTTTGGGTCGGGTCAACGGGTCGGGTTGTAATTTGCCAGGTCTGATTCGTGCTCTAAATAGTAAAACTCGACGGGCATACAATCTACGTGTGGCGTACGCTAGTCTGAACTATATATATGTGTGTGGGTGGGTTGTTATATCGTACCTTGAGTAAAATCAAAGGTATAGTATACCTTTGAGTAAAAAAATTATATCTAGACATTGAATTGACCGGAATTTGGCATCTAGTACTATTCCCAAACCCTGAAAGATTAATCTATGATTTAGTTCTATTAGTCTCATACACTAAGATCAATTTAATTAGGGAAAAACCCGATGGTTGTTATTCCTCCAAATTTATGCAACAAATTACATGCATGATCTTAGGGGTTAGGTTTTATTATTTAGATAATTAAGACCTAGGTTTCACCTATCAAGAGTTAGGGTATAGTATCATGCCAAAAAATTCGGTTAATTTGAAGTGTAGATAATGTTTTTTTTACTAAGGATAATGTCGTACCCTAAATTTTTCCCAAGGTACGATATATGGATATGGTAGAGAGGGGGCGGGATACGGTCACTTCCCCTTAAGGGTTTGTGAGATTCACAACCAAGGGCATTTTGGGTATGACAAAAAATGAATTTATTAATTATAGATTGAGAATTAAAAACTCATATTAAATACATGATTTTTTAAAATTTAAATCCTACAATAAATACAACTCTCTCTTCCTATCTCTCTCTCTTCTTTTTCCAGCAGCCAATCCACTCCGACTGGCTAATTTTCTGATCGACATACTTTCTCAGGTGAAATACTTGAATCAAACTCGTTCCGGCCGCTTGCAAAAAATTATCACTCTGTCTCTACGTTAGTGGTACGCTACCATTGGTACCACTACCAGTACAACGCTACAACTACCATCTGGTAGCTGTTAGTGGTACCAGATGACAGTGGTATGCTACCACTAAGATCTGGGCGCTACCAGATGGTAGTGGTACGCTACCACTACCAGATGATAGTAGTAGCGTACCATTCCAAATCAGTACCACTAGTCTAAAAAAAATATATGTGGAATCTGAAAATTCCCAGATCTGAAAAAAAGGGGATGAGGAAAGGGGGAGTCGGTGACCTCACGGTAGAGACCTTACAACAGGGGCAGAGGGGGGTGACTTTGCCTCACGGTAGAGACCTCGCGCCGCGAGACGGCAGCGACAAGGACGGAGGGCGGAGGCAACAACGTGAAGAGGTAGGGGTGGCATCCGGCAGGGAGCGGAGGCGCCGCAAGACTGTTGTGGATGCGACAACGTGAATAGGTGTTGGCGGGAGGAGGGTAGTAGTAGGAAGGCAGCGGCGACGGTGGGAAGAGTTGACGAGATGGGTGGAAGAAGAAGGGAGAACTGGTGTTGGTGGCAGCGACAGAGAGAGGGAGAATGATATGAAAATCTTAATTAGGGTTTTTAGAGAGAGAGGAAGAATATTGAATTTAATATGGGTTTTAATCCCATGTGTTCATATTTTTTGTCCAAAAATATACCAATCTCATCCATCAATTTTAAAAAGTATGAAAGAGAATGAATCTAATGGTGGATAGAGTGGGTTGTGAAAATAACAACCCTAAAAAGGGTTGTCACCGTACCTCACCCCGGTAGAGAGTGAAAACATATCCAAGTTTCTACCACAGTATACTTTTACGCAATGTAGTCAAAATCGAGTTTTAAAGTTTAAAAACTTACTCTTTTACACTTCTAAGTCACCAAAACGCTTATATGCAAAATCATCATTTTTATAATTAATGTAGTCAAAAACTACGATTTAAAACTTACAAACTTACGATTTTACACTTCTAGATTACCAAAACGCTTCTATGTAGAAAAACGCTTTTGACTACACTGCTTTTACGATGGTAGCACTTGATGATACAAAAGATTGTCAGTTCGAGCAACAAAACCAACAGCTTAATAATCAAAATTCATTATCAATCGAGCCAAAATTTCACAGCATAAGCTTGGGATTAGGGCAAAGATACGTGAAAGAACAAAAAACCTTGGTATGCATCTGTTTGTCAAAATTCTACAAACCACCCAACAGAAAATCAGCGTACTAATAAATAACTGATTAGCCAATCATTTCCGACATCTAGGCCATGCATTTCTATTCGAGTAGTCGTCTCGTGAAAATCATTTTCCCCATCTTCTGCCCGTAGAGATCTGTTTCATTCTAATACTGATACACTGCTTGCTCGCTGACACAGATGCGAGGATTATCCAAATCTATACAATCAAATGTTATACATAGTGGGACGGATTTAGATATTTCCCCGAGATCGTAGTTTGTTAAACAAAAGATCAATGCTTACGTTAATCAACACAAAAGTTAAATAAGGTAGCAGGGAAAGGAACCAATCAGAATTGCTGCTGTTCTCGTTATGGGACTGCACTGCACTGCACTAGTTGAATTCTACTTTGTTTCGTTGCTGATGAAGATGTTTGCTAGCGAGGAACCGCCCAACAGCTTTGCTGCTTATCTCAAACACGAATGCCATTTCTCGAATCTGCATATTCGGAGTTAGCAGATAGGTCGTATGGATATGGCCTATGCAGGTGCGTTTTGGCCAAAGAGCCAATCATTGTTGACTTACAAGAAAGTAAGGCATCAAATAGAGTGACGAAAAAGTGGAAGAGGGAGGTCTGTTATGCTTACCTCAATCAAACTGCTAGAACTAAGTGAAGAACTTTGCCCCATCAGGAGTTCTTCGCCATTCAAAAACATCGGACTCTTTCCGAGATTTTTGAGAATGAAAGATCCATCCTTCTCCATCTTTATAATCGCCTGTCAGAAACAACAGAAACATGGAAATGTTCAATCTTCAGTTGAATTCTGATGACAATTCTAACAGAAGATGAATATCTATCGAGCCTCCCCACCTGTCTCCTTGATATTTTGTTTGCCGGCCCCTCAATGCCCAAGTCAATATCAACATCCATATCATCTGTTGCCCTGCCAAGCATTACCTACAAAATTGAGCAGTGTCAAATGAGAACAGCATACCAAACCAAGCTTGGTGATGGATGGCTGAAGAAAGTCACTGATTTAAGCTACAAAAGCGAGCTTAAGGTATTTACCTCAGTATCCCTCATATAGTGCTTTAAGTGACGCCCATATAAGATGGCAAGTGCACCATGGACTGTTATAGCTCTTTCCTTGGAAGATTTGGCACACTGTTCAAGCCTCATGATCATCCTCCTGCTATCTTCACTTTGATACCTTACAACTACAAATCGGCTCTTAATCATTATATGATTCCTTTCATCTTCACTTTGGTACAAGAATTAAATTAATGCATATTCTTTGGTACTGCATTAAAAATGTACCCATTCCACACTTCTAAACTACTGAAGATCAAGGCCTTAGTTACTAAAATGAAGCAAGAAAAAGCCACAAAAAAAGGAAGCCTTGAGGTGTAAGAAATAAGAACTAAGAAGCATAATTACCTCCTCTGTTAAGACATGAATCTGGATCATCAGGCCATAAGTCCATATCAAGTATCTGAAACAACATAAGCAATTGGTTAGCAATGACTTCCCGACTATTTGTCAAAAAATAGAAAAAAGACTTCCCAACTAAAAGGGGCTAAAAATTATACTCTATTGTAAAATTCCTGAAATTTACCATGGCCTCAATCTCAGTAAAGGATGGAATATCATCATCACTCTCAAGCTCTTTCTCACCCGATTCTGATGGGTCTCCATCTGGTATCAAAGTGCCTTCTGCACAAGAAATTGTGGGTGCAGATTCCAACTCGCCCTTTAAAGCCCCAACTTGGCTGGCAGGTGGAGATGATGCCTGCAGTGATCCAGACTGATTCAGGCCTCCAGCAGTGGCAACGCTAGCTTGATCACCAATTGGGACGGGAATTATAGCATCAGAAGGCTTGCATTTCACTCCATTATTACTAGCAGTATCATTGAGAGGAACCATCTTTGTTCCCTTTTGCTGGGAGGCAGAAAGAGACACTGAAGCAATGCTCTCTTTCTTCATAGAGCTTACCACTCTTTTACCAGTTAAACCTTGGCTATCCTTTTGACTAGTAAGAGAGGAATTCCATTCCTTAGTCAGAACAATGCCATCATTGCACGGGACTTCAGGGTCTTCAGTGTTTAAAACACAAACAATTTCTTCATAGTTAGATTCAGCAGAAGTAGATGGTGCAGAGTTTGACTCTGGTCCCTTAACCTCGGAACATATGTAGTTATGCTGATCATC